GAACATCTTTTTTGTATAGTTCTTCTGTGTATTCTTGCCACCTCTTCTTAGTATCTTCTGTTCTGTTAGGTCCATGCCATTTTTGTCCTTTATTGAGCCCATTTTTGCATGAAATGTTCCCTTGGTATCTCTAATTTTCTTGAAGAGATCTCTAGTCTTTCCCATTCTGTTGTTTTCCTCTATTTCTTTGCCTTGATCACTGAGGAAGGCTTTCTTATCTCTCCTGGCTATTCTTTGGAATTCTGCATTCAAATGGGAATATCTTTCTTTTTCTCCTTTGCTTTTTGCTTCTCTTCTTTTCACACTATTTGTAAGACCTCCTCAGATAGCCATTTTGCTTTTTTGCATTTCTTTTCCATGGGGATGGTCTTGATCCCTGTTTCCTGTACAATGTCATGAACCTCCATCCATGGTTCATCAAGCACTCTGTCTATCAGACCTAGTTCCTTAAATCTATTTCTCACTTCCACTGTATAGTCATAAGGGATTTGATTTAGGTCATACCTGAATGGTCTAGTGGTTTTCTCCACTTTCTTCAATTTAAGTCTAAATTTGGCAATAAGGAGTTCATGATCTGAGCCACAGTCTGCTCCCAGTCTTATTTGGTCTTAATCATCAGAGAAATAGTCTGTTGAGTCAGGAGGAAAGCATTCTTAGACATACCAAAAAGATTGTTAATAACAAAAGAAGATACTTTTCTGGGTTATACCAAATTCACTTAATCAGCATCACTCACTGTCTGTGGACTCAGATTCATTTAAATACCCTGTAATCACTGAGTTCATGTCATATCTCTGTTTATGCAGATACAACACTCTCTTCAGCTAACATATATTTTTCTTAGGTGTTAGCAGAAGAGAAAATTTTAAAAACACCTTTAGAGAATATTTACAAAATCTAAATTATTCTCATGTTGCTAAAGCTTAGAGTTGAAGTGAGCCAAATTTTTTATGAAGATTTGCTTTAAAAGTTCATATTTTTATTTACATTTTCTTTTTTATACAGTACCAACAAGAAAAGAAAATCTTCAATTACACAATGTGACAAAAGGTAATCTTGACGTTTGTAAATCCTCAAATGCTGTGTTGATGTGGAGATGCCTGAATTATGTTGGTGCTTAATAGTAACACTGAATTTTCTAAAGCAAGAAAGTCTAGCTGTTTATATAATTCTAACAGCAGAGGAAGTGGACAGGTAGGAAATCGAGCAGAATGCTTACATTTCAGTGGAAAACTAGGTAATGTGAAGAAATAGAAACTATTAACAACATAAACATCCATTAGATATCCCAGTACCTATCGGAAGGAAAAATTTGTTTTTGCAAGGAGGCTTTCCCAGCATGACTACATTCAAAGATGATAGAGTAGTAAAAAGAGAAGGAGCCGAGAGTCCGTTTATCTGCAACTACATCAAATATAGCTAATATCATGAATATATTTTTATTATTTATAAATTGATCTTTGAAATTAATTCAACATAGATACAAAGTAGATAGTAGAGGGCAGATGCTAACATGCACATGGCAGGCAGATGTTCTTCACCCAAAATGAGAATGACCTACTCTGGTGATATCATCATAAAACTGTAAGAGTATAACTGAATTATTTAGTCTGGGTCATAAAATTTTAGGTGAATCCAATTAATTCAAAATGTAACAAAACATAAATGCCTTAGATTTTAAAATGCTAAGTAAACATGCCATAGTTAAGCAAGAATTTTCATTCAGAGTAAATATAGATCTCTAGTCTGTGTGTATACTGGGAGTGTGGAGCGGGAGGAATCTAGTTTTTCACTGGTCCCTGTTGCTGCTTACTGTTGTGTGTATACCTGAAACGGCGGGACATATTCAGACACAATTTTTAGTAATATTAAGGTGTAGCATTTAGAGTAAGAGAGCAAATCAGATTTGTAAAATGATACAAGAACACAATTTTCATATTGGAAATTTCTCCAAAAACATTATATATTTTAAGATACTTAGCCAGAAGAATGAAAAGTAATGTATTACTTGGAAAATGCACAGCTATAGCCTTTCCGATTATTAATTCAATTTCCATCTTAGTATAGACTCAGTGATCGTTCACAGTCTAAAGTTGAGTTAATGTTAGATGAAGGAAGTCTAACCTCTAGGAGTGTTGACCTGATAGAGACAGGAGTTAGCTCCAAGTGAGTGTGGCATCAAAGACTTAAGCCCATTCAATCACATTTTAATATCCTACCACACTGTGATGGGCAAATATTAGGGAAAGCTTTCTACCAGTCAGAGCAGCCCAAAGAGAAAATGTGCTTCCCTGCTGGCTCAGACAGTGAAGAATCCACCTACAATGTGGGAGGCCTGGGTTTCATCCCTGGGTTGGGAAGGTCCCCCGGAGTTAGGCATGGCAGCCCACTCCCGTACTCTTGCCTGGAGAATCCCCATGGACAGAGGAGCCTGTCCAGCTACAGTTTCACTTTCAAAGACAAAAGGCACCCCACTTTGTCCCCAAGGAAGTGGTCTATTAGTGCTGACCAAAGGATTCTAGAGATTTGGACATTGGATGGATGCTCCTTTCTTACTGTGTTCTGTGAGTCCATTTCTAAGATCTTCATCTTATGAATACACGGCAGGAAAAAATTGTTACATGTGAAAGCATAAGTCTAACCTAGAACTAGTTGAGAATATAAGCACATTCTATTCATTCCTTCACTCAAGGAATGGTTCATTGCATCTAAATTCCTATCTCTTTAGCCAATGCTATTTAGAAAGGAAAGATTATAACATTAGCTTTTCTAAAGTATTTTTCTGAATTGCATTAACCTAACTTTTGTAACTTTGTAATTATTAGGTTTATATCAGAAACTCTACAAGTCTCAAAGTAAAACATGTTATACAGATTCCTTAAAAATTATATTTTCAAACCTAGCCCTTTAAATTAGACATTAATGGAATATGAATGTTACCCATTGTTTCAGAAAGTTAGAAAGTCTGCTATATATAAGACAGTCATTTCACTTTATATCCTCATCCTGAATACATACAGTTTAATGGAAAAACATATTTGAAGAATTATAATCTCTCATTGAAACTAATAAATAAATGATTATAAAAATTAGTTGATTTTGCATGTTGCTTTTTAAGATTTATTATTTACAGCCTAATGTGTATTTGTTTTTATTCATGTCTAAGAGGAAAAGAATTCTCAATAATGTATTTTATGGAATTTGGAAAGTTTAAAGCAAATATTTAGATTAATTATATCATGCAAAGTAATTTCACTGGTGTTAGGTATAATTATAGTTTAACCAAAACAATTTAACAAAGATCTTAATGATTTTAGTAAGAGTGTTTAAAAGCATAAGTATATTGTGACACCTGCAATGATTAATAACTTTTTGATGTCTCACATAATAGCAATTAAGATATTCAAAGATCCATGTTATCAGACAATTGAGAGCTCCACTTATTCACTAACTCATGAAAAATAAGGGAGAAAGTCAAAAGATATTAGATACTTTTATATGCAGTCTATTGATGTATAATATCTTTGTGTTTTACCTGAGTTAAACAAGACTTGTTTTCTTTATTTTCAGTAGAAAAACCCACAAGAGTATCAAGTAAGTACTGCTTGTATTGATAATAAATTCTCTTTGGCATGCAGTATGAATTTCAAGCTGAAATTCATGAAATATTTATTTTTTTAATGTGTTCAGAAATTGAGTCATTTCATATTAAACCTTCTGACAGGATTTTGATGACTTTTCATCTTATTTATGTTGAAACTTAAAAAACAAAACTGCATTATTGAAATAACTTGTAACAAATACCTTATCATGTTTTTGAGCCTGAAGATTAAAGTGACTTGCATTCAATATATAAGTCTTTTCGGTGATTGAGGTTGAATGGAATAAAATAATCCTACTTTGGTCTTCAACCCTAAATTCCAACATTTGGAATAGAGCACATCTGGTTGAACAAAATGCTTGCTTTGCTGTTGTTTTCTAATGTTCATTAACTTAATTATATGTCTGAAAAGAATACATAGTTAGGAATGGATCTAATCTTTTATGTAACATACACTGACCAAACTCTCAGAAAATACTCTCTGAAATAACAAGATATAGGTGTAGATAGCAGCTCAAATGATACATGATACAGCTATGAATTTTCCTATAAATCTTAAAATTCTGGGAAATAGTAAATTTCCTTCTTAAGTTTCCAGATTTAAGAAGACAAATCATTTTAAATCAGTGCTATCTAAGGCAGTATTACTAGAGCCACAACTGTAGTTTTAAATTTTCAAGTAGACACATTAAAGGGCTTCCCTGGTAAAGAATCCACCTGCAATGCAGGAGACCCCGGTTTAATTCCTGGGTCGGGAAGATCCCCTGGAGATGGGATAGGCTACCCACTCCAGTATTCTTGGGCTTCCATGGGGGCCCAGACTGTAAAGAAACCTCCTGCAATGCAGGAGACCTCGGTTCAATCCCTGCGTTGGGCAGACCCCCGGGGAGAAGGGCATGGCAACCCCCTCCAGTATTCTTCCCTGGAGAATCCACATGAACAGAGGAGCCTGGCGGGCTACAGTCCATGGGGTGGCAAAGAGTCGGACACAACTGAGCGACTAAGCGCAGCACAGACACATTAAAAGGGTAAAAACAAATAGATGAGAACAATTTTAATATTTGTATCTGTTTCTGTTTTCAAATATTTTTTCAAAATGTAATCTATATAGAAGTATTTGGATAGATTATATAAATTTTTATTGAGCTTTTGAAATTGTGGGTGTATTTTACACTTATGGCACATTTTGATTTGCACTAGCTGTTCTTGCCTGGACAATCCCATGGGTGGAGGAGCCTGGTGGGCTGCAGTCCATGGGATCGCTAAGAGTCGGACACGACTAAGTGACTTCACTTTCACTTTTCACTTTCCTGCATTGGAGAAGGAAATGGCAACCCGCTCCAGTGTTCTTGCCTGGAGAATCCCAGGGACGGGGGCGCCTGGTGGGCTGCCGTCTATGGGGTGGCACAGAGTCGGACACGACTGAAGTGACTTAGCAGCAGCTGTATTTCAATTCCCTAACAGCCCAGGTGGTCAGTGGCTACTGCATTGGGTGGAGCAGGTCTCAGGGTTTATTGAGTGCTTCTGCTGTGTTCAATATTTAGTGAGTATCAAGGATGATATAAGACAATCAGTAAAGGTGGTACTTACCATATATCTCATTCAAAGTTCCTTGACTGCAAGTAATAGAGCTCCATATGGACTTGCTTCAGATATATTTTAAAAAAGGAAAATAATTACAAGGTTACAGCACTGTCTCTCTGATGCACAGGCAAAGCCTAATATTTGATCTTCAGAAAACCTTCTGAAACTATCTCACTCCACACCCTTCCCCTACGGCCAAAGTTAGTCAGGACAGATTTCATTTAGGAGGTTATTCTACAATTTGTATTTGAAAAATGGTTCGAGTTGGATAATTGGCAAAAGAAGGTGTAAAGAAAAAACTCACTTCTGTGTATTTCTCCTTTACTCTCACGCTACTACCGCACTCCTAACACTTCTGACACCAGGCAAGTAGGACTGTTTTCATACCAAACATTTCTCTGTGACACCAGCTGTCCTATAATTTAACTCAATTCTGATACTAACTAGACTTAGCGCATCATAAGTTGCCAATCAAAAATTTATCTATGAGCTCTTTGTATACTTTGGAGATTAATCCCTTGTTAGTTGCATCATTTGCAAATATTTTCTCCCATTCTGTAGATTGTCTTTTTGTCTTGTTTATAATTTTCTTTGTTGTGCAAAAAGTTTTAAGTTTAATTAGGTTCCATTTGTTTATTTTTGTTTTTATTTCCACTGCTCTAGGAAAAGGATTCAAAAAGATACAGATACAATTTATATCAAAAAGCATTCTGCCTATGTTTTCCTCTAGGAGTTTTATAGTATCTAATCTTAAATTTAGGTCTTCAGTCCATATGGAGTTTATTTTTGTGTATGGTGTTAGACAATGTTCTAATTTCATTCTTTAACATGTAGCTGTTCAGTTTTCCCAGCATCATTTATTGAAAAGACTGTCTCTTCTTTATTATATATTCTTGCTTCCTTTGTCGTAGGTTAATTGACCATGTATGTGAGGGTTTATTTCTGGGCTTTTTATCCTGTTCCGTTGATCTCAATTTCTGATTTTGTCCAGTGATGTGCTGTTTTGATTACTCTAGCTTTGCAGTATAATCTGAAGTCAGGGAGCCTAATTCCTCCAGCTCAGTTTTTCTTTCTTAAGATTGCTTTGGCTTGTGTTAGAGAGCAGTGAGAAGTAAGAACATATAGGTTGAAACTATGAGGTAGAAAACCTGATGTAAAAGAGAGAAGCAGTATCTCTTTCTGAAATCTCAAGGCTTACTCTGATTGAGATTCTTGAAATCATCCCGGTGGACTAGATTCTCAGCTACCTGAGGGTTTGTTTTAGGAATAAAAATAATCAGCAATATAATAGCATTTCTTTATTACATCAGTGAAAGTAATATTGCAAAATCAAAATTTCCATGATTCACAGACTATTATGGTTTACTTGATATTTGTTCTGTGGGTTTACTTTTTCAAAGGATGTAGATTTCTAATTTCTAAATGTCATTTAATTTTCATTCTATTTTTTACCTTGTATGTATGGTAAATAGATAATGAAATTAACTTTCCACAGAGTTTTGAGGAAGACATCAAGAGGCATGAAACTGTACTACATTTAAGATATAATTACTGATACTCTAAAAATTAAAAACAAAACAAATATTCACATTCTTGAATTTTAAAGTGTAATTATTTCTTGCTGATATTAATATTTTAAGGCTTTGGAAAACTTTTTTTTGAGAAAAAATTGTGTACAATAAAATTATGTAAAACTTCATTCCCAGGAACTTGCCTGTAGGCAAAACATGAAACAAAGCAAGGGAATGAGGAACTACATTCTTTAGAAGCAAATGGGCCAAGGGAAGTCTTGCACCTAGAAGAATATCAAGGTTCTTGACAGAGCTGAGATACTGACAGTATATTTATATTATGTTTATAATTAAGGAAAATGGTTTTATAAGGATCCATCATTTTTTGTTCTAAGTATCTCCTAGTCAACATTTAGGTAAAGCTAGGTTGGCTTGCCCCTCAAAATGAATACTTTAAAAGAAGTGATGTATTAAGAACACTTCTTGAAATTATTCTATGTGGAAATTTAACTTCGACACCTTTTTCTGTAACATTTTTCTTTGATCATAAATAGTGAGGATTTTACTGTTAGCACCTCACCAAAATTATCTGTGTAGACAGGTTTGAATCATTGTAAAGACTCTGAGATCAAATATTTATATTAAAATAATGAATTTAACTTTTTCATACAATACTGATACATTTTAATCTTTTACAGAAGTTAATTACTTTTTAATAAAACTTCAAGCAAACCCAGCAGAGGACTAGCCAGGATTTCCATTTTATATGTAGCTTCCTTTGTTGCTTTCATTTGTAATTTGCTTTTTAATGCTTTCTAACTTTTAAAATGCTCATTCATCTTTTTGTTCTGCATTTTTTGTGTATAAATTTGGTAAACTAATAAGTAATTTGTGTCAATATTAAAGTATAGTGGATAATTTTAGACATCAAATTCAGCTACTTTGTGATTTTGTCTGAAAATTTAAATAAGCATGGATATAATTAAAGTTTCTATGAATGTAAAGGCTAACAGTCTTTTTCCTCATTTACATGTTTGATATATCTTAGGTTAAGCAATTCTTTTAAAAGATTGTAATTACACATTACTGAAGTATATCATCTGTCATTAATAAAAGCATAACCTGTTTTTATTGATTATATATGCCTGGATTAAAAGTTTTCAAGAATTTCAGAAAGCCAGAATTTCCTAATAAACATGTTACTGCTATTTGAAAGAAAGTTTGACTTTGTCAGACACTCATGAATTCAGACAATCATGAAACTATTAGTGAGTCAGTGAACTATAAAATGTTACTATAGTGGCAAAAGAAACTAATTCTCTTAAACCCTTAAACACAGAGTATGTTTTGGTTTATGTTAGTATTATATGTAATTCCCTTTTATAAACAATTAAAATAATGATCTTTTCTAAAGAGATCAGATACAACCTAAAGTCCTATAAGAGTTAATTCATGACTAAATCAAATCATTTATATTATCTCAGACTAATTGATTTGCTAATAAAAATGTTAGTAGTATGCCATTAACTAATGGTGGCATATCAACACTTTAACTTTCAAAGAAGTGAATCAATTTTGTTATTACACAGCATATGCCTGTCACATTTCTAGTGCTGCACAGAAAGCTCAATAATCTGATTCAATGCTGTTACAGAAAATGTCTTGAAACATTGTTTGCTTACTTTTACAGAGTAAATTTGAATGGTGTTATTAATGCCAGTTGTAACTTGAATTCATTTGCCTAATGTTGACCAAAATATTTCCCCCAAACTAAACTAAATTGCAGGCACTTTAAATGACTATTAAATCACTCTGTGGTCTATTAAAATAGTTTGACCATTTTTTAAAAAGAGTATCTCCCTTGATTTAAATAATTATTTTATAATTACCTTATTCGT